TACTATCATATCACCACTTATCTACCCATTCACCCCACTTATGTGTGTACGCTCTCATCCTGCAACAAAACAAACACAATGTTTAAACAACTCAAAACACACAATATGTGACATTATTTGTGAAAAATAAAAAAATATATATATTTTATAAAAACAATAAAAATACTCTGGAATTGTTCTTTTGTGGTATGAATATGTTACTTATCTGTGTGATGTCTGTATGTTTATTATTGTTATTGTTGCTCAATCTTCCTTTTCTCAACACCATCATCCCACGCCCCCCCCTCCATCATATTGCCCAAATCAACAACCTTTTTCCTTCCATTACACCCCCCCGCCCAACTTCCTTTGTCCTACCGCAAACAAATCATATCTGATACTTAAAATACACTAACGCACACCTACACGGCGCCATATGCCCTAAAACACTTATGCTCCTATCTCCTTGCGCCCTTTCCCGACCGCTTCCGACGCTACGAAAACTATCCCATTTGACATGATGACCTCGTGTGCGGAAACGGACATGAAAAACTGACAACAATTGCTTCTTTTCGCCTAACAACGTACAAATTGTTGATGTGACCGAATGGAAATAAAAAAATAAAAAAATAATAAAAAATGATAACAAACGTAAAAAAAAAAAAAAAAAATTACAAAAATACATACTTACGTCATACTCGAAAACTATTTGTCCACTCCATACCCCATACTCCAAACATCCATCCAACTTTGACTGTAAAACACAACTACAACCACTCATGCTTGGACATACGAAACTTTTGTACTTGAACGTTTTTATAGCAGCTATGCGTGGTATGGCTTTACAACGCGGACACGTCGGTATCGTCGGTGCACCCTTCAATCCAGCCTTGGCAGCTGCTGTAGCGGCACAGCATCAACAACAACGCCAAGCGGCCGCTGTGGCAGTAGCGGCTGCAGCTGCCCAGCAACAGCAATTAGGTTTACAGCAAGCCTTGCAAGTGCAACCAGCCACCGCCGGAGCTAATGCAGCCGCCGCCATGCAGCCCAGCGCTCAACAGCAATTACAAACACTTGCTCAATCCGCCGCCGCTCCGAATGTCTCGACAGCAGCCAGCGCCGCTTATGCAGCCCGTTTAACTACAGCTCCACCGCCACCACAAACAGCTACGGCTGCGTCTATAGCCGCCGCCGCCAACGCAGCAGCTGCTGCCAATGCTGCAGCCGCTGGCACTACCCTCCATGGATATGCACCGTAAGTAATAGATGATTATTTCTTTACTCGATACAAATAATAAGAGAAACGAAAGTAGAAAAATATGATAGTTGCTCTTAAAAAAAGAGTGAAAAAATGGAAACGCAAAGATTGCAAAGAAATACAAAGTGACCGAGTTTAAGCCACTACCGGGAAGATAAAAACTTATTCATTTCGCCCAAGAATTAGGCGCGGCATGCTACGCTAACTAACATGTACGACAAAAAGGCTCAATCCGTCCGTCTTTTTTTTTTTTTTTTTGCGAAAACATTCTGTAGATTAGCAGCAACATTATAAATCGGCAGACTATGATGATCCCTTGCAAATAAAATAAAGTTCATCAAGTGCGATTGCGCAGTGCGGAAATGTGTGCTATATACTGAAATAAAGGATATCGCAAAATTTCCACAAGACTAATAATGTTTTTAATGGTAATTTTTTTATTGAACCACAATGTGCATAAGTTATGTTTGGAGTAGCAGCACATCGGGGAAATGGCCTCCATAGGCTTTAATGGCTCTTTTAACGAAATTCTGATCACCGAAACGTGCGAGCACACGATCAGAGAATGTCTCAAGCCGTAATTGAATTGCTTCACGGGATGCATGGCATGTGGCACGGTCTTGTTGAAACCACATGTCGTTCACATCAATATCATCCAATTTAGGCAGACAGAACTGCGTAACCATAGAGCGATATCAAGTGCCAGTGACAGTCATTGCTTGATAAACCTCATCTTCGACGAAATATTACCAAACATACATTATATTTGAAACATTGTTGCGCGATACTTTCTCGTGTAACGTTCCATTTTTACTAATCCCGAGCTGTCAGTTGTTAAACGGTTTTTTTTTTTTCTTTGACAATTGCCAACACTTTACCGCACAAATGGGTGGCAAATTGAAATCTTCCGTCATCTTTTGGACGCCATATACTAGAGTTTGACAAGTTGAGATGTCAATTGGAAAACAAAAGCTAACATAAATGTTTACTAATGTCGTACATACGTTGTGTACATGCATTTATTGTTCAAGTTGCACGGATCATAAAAAAATTGGTGCAGACTTAAAATGATTGAAAATCTTCTAAACGTCCCCTAATTTTTTTTTTTTTTACTCTTCGCTTTTTGATGGGAGCTATCCAATTTTTCTACCAAAAAAAAAAAAAAAAAAAAAAATTCTCTTTTTCTATAGAAATTTTCTTTTTGTAGTTTCTGTAGTTGTAAAAATATTTGATTTTTTTTTTTTTTTTTTACTTTCCATTACTCTTTTATTTTTAACTGTTTTATTAATTTTAACCTTAGCACTTGAATAGTTTTGGAAAAATTTTTTTACATTCATATTAATGCATATAGAAGCAAGAAGCTTTCATAAGTAATTTTCGATTAAAAATCCAAACACTTAAGTTATGCGTCGAACGAATAGTAATTTTTTTAAGATTTCGTGTGTGTTTTTTTGAAATGTATGCATGTGTTGGTTGGTACGGAAAACATAATTTAATAATAATAACAACAATAAAAAATCCAAACATTTAAGTGCATATATATATATATATATATATATATATATGTATATATCTTTGTATAGCTACACTTGATCTCACAATATCTCTACATCACTGTCCACTCTAATCGCTTCAACTACGTTATAAACTGAATTTGCAATCACATCAGCTGTTTATCTAGACAGCTGTTGCAATCAGCAGCTGACTTATGTTTAATAATAGTGTTCATGTTTGGTTTCTTTTTTTTTTTTCAAATTATAAAGCATTTTCTTAGACATTTTAATGTGTAAATAGCTCGAAACATTCTTTGTTACAAGAATTCTATTAAGAGAAATCTCCGAGCATCGTACCTTTAAGTGTGTGTGGCTGTGAGTGTTTTAGTTTGGGGACCCACTAGTCATTTCTTTTATTGTTGTCTGCCTGTCTCTCTCTATCTTCCTTTTTTATTTTCTCTATGTCTCTCTCTCTCTCTCTCTCTCTCTCTATCTATCTCTCTCTTTCTCTCTCGCTCTCTTTGTCTCTCTCTTAAAGTACATCTGCATGTTAAAATTATATAAAACACTTATATACGGATGGATGGGCATTTTTGTTGTATGTTTATTTACGACGATACCGTTACCTTTCGATTAATGTGCATATAAATAAGGATTATTTATTTATTTAATTTTGTTTTTTTTTTTTTTTGTCTATAGGCGCATGCGCAATTATGTGTTAAAGCAAAACATATCTTTTAAATACTTATAAGGAATATGAAAAGATTCTGTTTCTATGTATTTAGTTTTCTTTTTGTTTTCTATTTTAGATATATATTTTGTATATTTAATTTAAGATTTATAAGGACTTTTTTGCGCCTTATATGATTTAATTTAATTTAATTTTAGTTTAATTTATTTTCTAAACAAACTAAGCAAATAGTTTAGTTTTTACTTTAAACGAACTTAGTTGCAAAAAGAGAAGCAAAGTCTTCGAAAGCGAAGCAATTTTAAATAACTCGCTGACCGATCGGTCAACCATCTCTAAGAGAGAATCAAGCTTTCCTTGTTTTAACCTTGCAAACGTCTAAAACGAGATGCAAAGTTGTCCCAACGTAGGCAGAGAGATATGATAAATGCAAACGCAAAATCTCACAGGCCGATTAAAAAGCATTGAAAAAGAACTAGAACACGACGACGATTATTAGGATCGTGTAAAATAAGCTATCGATTTGTGTGTTATAGCGGAGTAGGTAAAAATCGAACACGTGACCACCATGTCCGTGATCGCGGATGTAAATCTCAATGCGGTAGAGTTTACTTTGATCGTAGAGTTATCGTGAGTGCTTAACCGGTAAAGAGGAATAACACTGACCGCTTCCCTCTCACTTTTTCTCTTTCCTCCTCTCTTTCTGACGGTCACCATATAACACAAAATGGGTTATATCCCTTGACTCATTCAACCATATTAGAGAGAAAAAAAAAAAAAAATTAAAATTATTTATATAAAACTCTTATGTATTTCTTCGTATTGGCTTACCTTTCATATTTTTCTTTTCTACATTCTACCGATATTTATATTCCATTTGTCCACCTTGTGTAAAACATTCACTAGTTATTTCTGCCATGAAATTTGTCCGTTTCATTAACTATCCAGACAGTATCTTCTCTTGTATTTCACGTAGAAATTTTCATAAATTTCGTATCTCGAAAGAAGAGGAAAAGGATAAGATCAGTAACAATAAATGTAAAAAATGTTTAGCGAGAAAGGAGATTAATAAATTTCTAAAATTAGATCTAAATACAAAACGCTGTTCTTAATAATTGACTTTATGCCAAGACTACGCATAAACCGTTGCGCTTGTTGTGCTCTTAAAAGCAAGAAGACAACATTTCTTTGCGACGATGTGTAAAACCGGTAACACAGCGCGCACAGCCAGACTATATACGCTTGGAGCTTAAGCTTGGATACCCATCGTTTAAGGTAAATATTATGTATAAAAATCGCGAAATTTCCTTAATTGTAAACATTTAATTAGACCGACCATTTAAAAGCCAAATTTTTCCATAATTCTCGACTTTATTAACTACTTTAGGACCGATTTCTAAAAACTTGCAATTTATAATGTGTCGTGGAAATACCAGAGAACAAAAGAACTCAAACACAAAAAGTTACTATTTTTAATTTTTTTTTTTCTTTTTTGTTTACTTAAATTTGGTTATGATTATTTTTGAAAGGCAATTTCTTCTGGTAATTCTTTCATCAACGTAGCGTTTTTCCACCGAAGAGCTCACAATATGCGTGCAGTTCTTTGCACGAAAAAAATTCGCAGCCGATAAAATTACAAAATGATTCTCAGCACAAACAACTGCAATAAAAACAAATAATTAATTACTTGTTGTTTCACAATTAAATTAATACATGACATATATATACTTGCATAAAGTGATCGACTGTTTATATAAGTTCTGCAAATTCTGGACACTTTTCAATTAACGTGGACGTGGAACATTTAAAGTCTTAAAGCTAAAAACCTAGCTTTGTATTTAAGCATAAATTTTGAAAACTTGAAACACAGAGCGACAAACGAAAAGTCAAAGGCGCTAAGACGACATCAATTTAACTCAAAAGCGCATGTTTATCAATAGGCACTGTTGTGATGCGTCGCTTTATATGGATGTGAAACTATAAAGATTTGGAAGAAGAAGAAAAAAAAAGAAAATCCAATATTTCGTCTTTAGCGGTAAATGCGACATCTTGCGGATTCGTCATCGCGTTTATGATGAAAATTTAAAAAAAATTATGGGTGTTTTCGGAGCTGGCTTTAGTTTCTTCTACATTGTGGGCGTATCTTTGAACAATCACGTCCTTTTTTGGACTTTATAAACTGTTTTCGGTGCACTGATAATAAACGCGATTACCATTTGAATAACAGTTTTCTCAAGTCCAAAAAGTGTAGTGTAGAACAGTGGTGGACCCAAGGTTTTTCATCTTTCGATTATCGAAAATAAATTTCAGGATTTATTTTCGTCCAACCCTTTTGTTCGGCCATTGCGTTCAATATCGTAGGCGTGGAAAGGAAAAACTCTTGTAATATGCAAGAATGTTGACTAAGAAGTACTTGATTTCCAAGCGTGACAACATCATTCAGCTCTATTCTGGAAAGTCCTTTCAGAAGCAAAAGCCGTCTTAACTCATCAACATATAATCGAAATGAAATGAAATATTAACAGGAGTCAATTGAAGATTGGCCCCTTCTATAAATCGGAACTTATTAACGAATGTGTTAAGTACGAGTAGAGAGCGCTTATCGTTAACCTATCATACGTTTGACGTAAGCGACGTAATAAACAAGATTTGACGCATTTCAGATATTGCAGAAACGTTACTTAATAATACTTATTTTCCAATCAGAAGCCAAGTATACAACAAATTCGAGATTTCAATCCCCGGACAGTGTAATCTTATTTTATACTAATACCGGAATATATTAAGATTTGTTCAACTTGACATTCGCGATCCATAGCGTATACAGAACTCGAATTAAGAGAGTAAGGGAACTTGGCTTTAAAAAGGGCCTAAAAGAAATCAATTCTTTCCATCGTTATTCCTTAAGAGCCTTTCGGCTTAATTACACTGCATAGTCAAGTAGACGTATATATATATATATATATATATATATAAATAGAAAGCTGGAAAGATTAATGCATGCACAGTGATCTCTTCCGTTTGATCTAATCGTTTTATATTCTCTTAATGCCAACCTCAGTAATCCTTTGCCTTGCCTAGAATTTCATGGATCAATTATGTCTTCGGCATCCCAATGACCTTACAATAATAGGGTTGAACCTTTTCAGTTTTCTTACCTTCCTTTCCTTCGATATGAACAGCTGTTCGGAGCATGTTCAGCTTCAATTTTTCCCACTGACGGTGTTACGCTAAAACGAAATGAAAAAACCGTAACCTTTTTACAATATGCTTTACTACGCCGACCAGAACAGAAGCATCAAGATTACTAATTTTTAGTCCGAATTTACAATAACCAACGACCGTTCAGGTAGCTTGTCATGTGTACATGCCTTACCGCTTACCGCTCTAGTAGTGCGAAAAAACGAGGAACATTGACAAGGATGACCACTTTTCAGCAACAACTTGACTATTTTTAGCGCATATTGAAAGGAAATTTACATAACATTAATATTAGTAAGCCGTGTATAAAAAAACGTGTTCAACTAATGAAACCGACTTAATTACGATATAAGTAAAAAAAGACCGCAATTTCTCTTACGTTTATCTAAGATGATTGGTATCCAAAATATGGCTCGAGAATCAAATTTCAATTTTTAATGTTAATGTGTGAACATAAAACGGATGGAAGAGATTTCGGAATCTTGTTCTGATATACGAAAATACGATGTTTATAGATCGCCTCGGACATGCCAAATTTACTATTTATGTCTTTAACCTAACGTTAATTATAAGAAGCGAAATGCTAAACAACCTTTTACTCTACAATCTCAATTAAGTAAATATTTGATTTAATTTAATAATCGTGTGAATGTGAACGAGTGAATGTGCCTGTGTAAACATGAAAAAATTTTTAAATGCAATATTAATTGAAATTTATTTTAAACTCAAATAAATTTACCTAAAGCGTCGACAACATTCAAAATAAACAACGAAAAATGTTGTTTGTTGGCCGAGTTAAACATTTAAGCTGATTATTGACATCAACTGATATCAAAAATGAATTTTGCTTTTAAGTAAATGTAAATTAATGAAACGATAATTTATGATAAATATGTATATATATATATTTACATAAGCATAAAAAAATTAACAAAATCATTATAAAAATTCTTTTAAATATTTCACAGTGTTTACTATGACCCCTTCTTAGCAGCAGCAACCGCTGATCCTAATTTGCGTTTTCAGGTAAGTTTCTTACTTATTGTTATTGTAATAAATAATAAAAATAAAAAAAAAAACCATAAGGAGAAAAAAGGCTTCCATTAAGCTTTCTTTAGTTAATTTAAGCAACCAATATATATATATATACATATTTATATATACATATATATATATATGTATGTATATGTTTCCGATTTATAAATTTATTTAATTATTTTATAACAGTAAGCGTATAAGTTATAATTCTCCTCTCAGGGCTAAGTTTAATTAATATTTCAATAGAAACTTTCATTTACAATTGTATGTGTGTGTGTTTATTTTGTTTTGTTTTTTTTTTTTTTACCATAAACAAAACATCTAAATTTTTACAGGCAGCCAAACCGGTCACAGAAGTTCCAGCAGCACAGCCAGCAGCAATTATAAATGTAATCATTGTTCCATACTTATTTGTCTTTAAAGAAAGTTATATAATAACCATAATCCTCCTCCTCTCCTCCCCTCTCCTCTCCTCTCCTCTCCTGTCCTCTCCTTCGATAGTGTTCACAATTAAATGAAGCCCTTACGGCAATACTTCTCTAACTTCATCCTTCAAACCACCATCCTCAACGCTTTCCAATCCCCACCAATCATCCCCACCACTCCTCCATCCACCGACCCATCCTTCTTGGTCCCTCTCGCCCAACCTCGCCCGACCAATATCAACCAAAGCCCTATACAATCAATTGTTTGGTATTTAAGCTTATTTTTGTTTTTTTCTTAACTATTTTGTGGTATTACCCGGTGGTTCTTTTTATTTTAACAATTTCCATACAGATATTTATCTTTATGTCTCTTTCTCGCCCTATAATATTTTGCTAAATAATGTAATTTTTAAATGAAAACAATTTACGTTTTGCATATGGTTTGAGATCCATTTTTTTTTTTTACTCTTTTTTTTATTTTTCTTATTTTTTTGTATATGTTATACAGTTTCGTTTTTTGTGGTTTTAAAAAGAAATATCTTCTCTCACCAAACACAAACAAACATACAAACACACACACACACACACACACAGAGTCACAGTCCTAGTCACAGAAAACTTAATACACAATAATTTTGTTATGGTTCAGTACTTTTACATCACATAAGGAAAAAAAAAATACTAAGAAAGTTATAAACACCTTATGACGAATCGTAAAAACCCCCACCACCTCAAACAAATACATATAAAAAAAAGCGTAATAAACATTTTCATTAATTCAGAAAATATTATTTGGCCGCTTGAGACTTTTACGTCAGTTGAGCTAAGCATACGGACGGTTAGAGTAAGCAGTCTATAGAAATAGTATTCACTTATCTTTAGTTTAGGTGTTATTGGTTCATCTATGAATAGATAACAAGACATCTTCTCCAATTTGATTTCTAAACATAAAACATAAGGATATATATGTCCAAGTACCATAGTTTCCTATTTGACGGAAGCAGACAACGAAAATTGCACCGTTGTTTAATCGATTTAGAAGGAAGTGCAATATATTTGTAGCCTATTCATCTACGATTCCGAGCCAATTTAATCGTGTCCATCCGTCCTTTCCTCCGATCGCTGTCTGCTGTTGGAATTCTCGTGATCGATATAACGATCGCAACATGTACGTTGTAAATACAGATTGTGAATTATGTTTTCATACAATTTGACATTTTACAACAACACTTATGTTTATGTAAATGTGCTTTTGTTTTTTCTTGGCCCTTGCAATACGCTTTCGAATTCTAATTTTCAAATTTGACTTAACAAAATTGAGAAAAAAAAGACAAAATTTAAATGCAAGTTTTTTTTTTTTGGGATTAATTTCGAGACTTGAATGAACCGACAGACAAGCCATCAGATATTCTTGATATAATCTGCATGCGTTTCCCTGTACATTTTTTTACTTGTATGCATATATGTGGTCTCTGTGGAAGTGATATTTCTATGCCTCACGAAACATTTGACGGCTCGTAACACTCTAACCTCTAAACTGCCTCTGCAATGGGTATAAGAAATTGTACTTGCACTAATGTGAATAATTTTCAATTTGCAACCGAGATATTAATGTAAAGCTTGTCAAGTGGACTAAATGCGAGAAAATATATTATTCGCGTCTATATCTACGCGTAAAAGTGTCGATATATCGGAAAAGAAATGAAGGAGAAATTAAAACTATCAAAATGTGTGTGTGTTTCTTTCTTAAAATAAATATTAAGTAGTAATCTGAAATGTTGTTCGATGAAGATCGATGGAAAAATGTGGAGAAAACTTTGAATTTTCAAATATATTTGCTTGGGGTGACGAGTGTCTAAGATTCGCTCTCAGGGTTGATTAATGCCAGCTTCGTTTTTTACTCTCTCTCTCTCTCTCTCTCTCTCTCTGTATCTGTTATATTTATTTTCTTCTTCTTCTTCTTCTTCTTTACATTTATACATTTCACACGAAGTTTTTGTATATTTTTTTACTTTTGCATTTGAGTTTTGTTTCGTGCACTCTTTTAAAATTTGTTTTCGTTCTTCTGCCATTTTTACATATTCAGGTTGATATTTTATAAATTAAACTGTCATTTACATACTCATACCGTAAAATGAAAATATTATAACCGTAACAAATTTATTACTTTTCTTATATACAAACTGTAGATCACGTGAACTATACTAAAAATGTGATAGAATCCTTTGTTTTCTCCCTTTTTGAGTTGTTCATTTCGCATTTCTCTTTCTTCGCATTCTTACATTTCGCAAATATTATTCATTATATAATATTCATTAATCACGGAGTTCGAGTTACGAATGCACTTATGAAATTATCATTAATATTTTACATCGAAGTATTCATTTCTGGACGGATTTCGCATCCGAATCTTTTCATGCAATGGGTTATGATTTTATAATGCGTTTTCGCATATTGCAAACGTGGCGACGGCTTTGCATTAATTGTTGTCCATAATGTCCCTTAGAGAATTAGTCGCTTGGGTTAACACCAATGCTAATCGGGAGAGGCAATATATGATAAGTATATCGCGATTGCAGTTCAATGCTGCCAATACTTTCTAGGCAGATTCTAAAGCATGGAGCCGAGTATCATCAACATATTAGCATATTTTTCCTTTAATGATCGCCGCTGTTGTTCGAGCAGTTACTGGTAACGTCGAAACGGCCCATAGCGCGCCCATTTAAATAGTAGTGGTGTGGATAACACAAGACCTATGACACAGAATTTGATCTCTTCAAATCTCAATGAACTTTATAGACTTCCATTCTTCGTTAAAGTTCATTAGAAGTGTATTCTCACAGTGTCGCTCCGCCCTCAAAAACCCCATAAACTTATATCAAGTTTCCCGTATTTTGCATCAATTCCAAGTCCAATATTTTATTGCTACTAAAGATAACGAAATGGTTGAGTGTAGTAACTTCTTTCTTCCTTGACTTATAGCACAAGCGTCAAACCAAATTTGTTACACATAATATACTTGAAGTTGTCATACGACACATTTATCCATTTCTCTCGGAACTCCGGAATTCCGGAAAGCCATATTTTTTTTAGAAAGTATCAGCCCCAAGTGAAGCCTTTCTAAATTTCACGTCGTTTCGACCATTCGTTCACAAGTTAAAGCGGTTTTAGTGAAGCTATCTTCAAACAATGGATAAATTGAAGTTTGTGCGTCCGTCTGCAGGAATCCCAAATTTTCACTCTAATGCGGTATCGCAAATCTCAAATAACTAAAAGTTTTCTATTTAGAATTTTACCCCTCTCCCGAAAGAAAAGAAAAACAAAAAAAAGTTTTGAAGATCCATGAAATTGGCTTTTGATAAATTCCATGCAACAGTCTTTATACTCGTCAATTTGAACAAGTGAACAAATTAAATTTAGCTGCGACCCACCACCAAGTCTATCTTAAAAAAGACTATAGAAGAAAGTGAAAAAGCTAAATTTCCATACTCAATAATACTAGCGGCACGCGTGACTGATTTTTCTAATCTCTATAGAATGTACGCGTCCGTTGTAGTTGTGCAAGGAATGGATAAAAGATCGGAAAGGCGAGATTTCGTCAGTTTATATTGTACCGATTTGGTCCATTTTCAATATCATGCTATGTACTACAACATCCAACAGCATTTCCCAAACTTCTCTCTTCTATTTGCACTTTTGCGACCACTAGAGCGTTTACTGCAGCAATTAACAGACAGACAGACGGACTGACAAACATGGGGGAGAGAGAAAATTTGATAATTGTCGATAATATCCCAATTTTATAGGATCTCTGAAGCTTCGCTCTGGATGCTGCAAACCTTTTCTGGGACTGTGAATGTGTCCTCTGGACAATTTAGCTCAGTTGCAATACCGTGCAGCGTGCAAAACGTTTCAATGTTTTCGCCAAATTTGCAGCCAGAAAAAAATTTACTAAATACATTGCACATAGATTTCACAGATAGACGAACAGACGAAGAGACGAGCATACTTAACCATCGTTTCGAATTTGATGCTGATTAAAGATGAAGCTTCGTTCTGGGTGCTGTGAATGTTTTAACAAATCGAAGATACCGCCCATTGTTCAGTGGTGGATGTAAAAATCAACACCTTCCAATTCCAATCATATTGTTTTTAATTTAATCATTTTTAGCATTTATGTTTCATTAATGCTAATTTTCTGTTTCCATAACTCTTTTCCGCTATTTTCGAAATTATTTTGCTTCGTTTATAGGGCTCCTTACGTCGCTACACACAAAAAAAAAAAAAAATTATTCCGCTTATAATCTGTAAAAGTAGGTATCGTAAATCGTGTAAGGCTTTATTCTCGATTCTCGATTAAGGCGACATTTTTAATTGATTTAACATAAAAAAGTCAATTCTTGAATGAAATCGACCTGATATCATTCGCTAGTTATAGTCAATTTAGTGGATCCAGGATATCATCACGCACTAATCTGTGGCGCACACGCTTTGTTTCTCTAACTCTGTATTCTATTATTTACATTAGGTGATATCATAATGTCACACTTGTCAACAAAGGCACCAGTTTATGTTCGCCTAAATTGATTCTTCTGTTGACATTGCATAAATTCTCTTTTTTGTTATATTTTAGCTCATGTTTTATTTATATGCATAATTTTACTAATTGTTGCTTGTAAATAATTAAACAATTGTTATTTACTCATTTTTTTGTTATTTCGTAAGCTCTTCCCTACAAAAATTGGTGAATAAGTAAAAAGCTTTATCTCAAATAATAGGAATAACTAACGTGCGTTCATGGGTACTCGCTTTCTTTATTCATTTTTAATTCTACGGATATATTGACTTCTGAAAACTTAGCTCATTTCATATTCTAGATCAAATAGTTTAGTATATTTGCATTAATGAACAAAGCTTCAGCAATGGACCGTGCAACGAGAAAAGCAAAAACTCGTGCCATTTGTGATTTCCTTCACTAAAAGTTGCCCTCTTAGAATGACATCAATTCTTGAGGGTATTGCGTATATTCGGCCTACATACGCAGTCAGTCAATAATAGCCTCTCTTATTGCGATTAATATTCACATCATTGAACTCTCTCAGCACTCTGCGTCAGCATCAAATGAGCAAAGCACGTACGTACGTCCGTAAACGCCTTCTCCTGATCGCTATCGACTTCAAATCTGTCAGAAAGATTGGAAATTCTTGGCATTGAAAATAGCTTGAATCGATCGAAAACTGAGAACACCTCGATTTCCAAAAAAAAAATATTTATTTTTTTTTCGTAAAATCTACGAAAATATGAATTATGTATTTTTTATTTATGACCGGTACAACAGCATCTCTGCAAAGATGAACAAAGTTGACCGCACATACTCACTTGCATAGTGCGCCAAATATTTAATTGTTTTCTCAAGGCTTCTCAAAGCTTCTAAAAAGTGCAGAAATTATATGAATTCTTGATCAGTTTCGAATTCGGAATTCACTTAAGCATGTCCGTCTGCTCGTCTACCCAACTGTAATGGTGAACTCTCTTCGCAAAAATGAAGATATCGTCTACAAATTGCCAAAAGTATTTGAAAAAGACCCAAACCGGGCTTACGAGACGCCTACACAATAAAAACCGCGATCCCTTTCGCTTTCCATGTTTTTTTTTTTTTTTTTTTGTTTTTTACTCATAACTCCACTTTAGAAAAAATTAGCCGCGCCCACTCAATATCGCAGAGTGTGAAAATCTAGTTATTTTCCTTGTCTTAATCATTGTTTAGAATAACGCTGATAGGTATAAAAGACGTGATCACGACCGAATACGAATTTCTTACTTGTTCATCTTACGTCAGTTGTAGTGAAAGATTTATTCAGTTTGCGCGGTTATACATACGTAACACGCAGATGTAACTAAAACGAACTAATCTTTTCTATACTGGTTTATGCATAAGCATTTGTTGTCCGTTCGTCCGACTGCTTACCCATCGATTTTGTATTGAACTTACACGTCCAAGGACAAATCCTATTGAAAATTTATTGCATCACTCTTCTAATCGCCTTTTGATTACAAAAAAGTGTTCTTTTTAATATTTCTCGCTGCAAATAAATAGCAAACAGTCGGTGAATGAGCAAAACTCGGATTTTTTTTTTCAAACTCTTCCAATGAAAGGTAGTGAGTTGATATGACAAGAAAATAGAGAATCATGGGATCTTTGATAAGAAAATGATTTTTGGCCCCCTCCTATTTAAGGGCTTGCGTTCAAAGTCAGCCTTTTTTAATGAAAAACTACATTAGACGGGAAAATGTTTTTACTTGCTTGATATGTAAATGCATAGCACGCTACAATTGTTACGTAATTATGTGGCAAAGGTACATGATTCACAATTTTGAATAGCACATGACCTCCTAAGGGTACGGGCAATTTGGCCTCACGTAATTTGTAATCGACATGACTTGTCATACATTTTTCGATCTCTCGTAAATTATAAAAAAAAAAATAGATATCGAAAGGCGAAACTTGACCATCAGTGATGGATAATAATAAAAAGATGAAAAAGAAAACAAAAAACTTTGAAAATAATACTAATCAGTTAAGTATAATTTCGATAGAAGACGATCCGAAATTCAATTTGAATGACAACAGAGGAGTATAAATGTAAACGATCGGTTCATATTAACACGTTTGAAGTGGTGGATAATTTGAATTCATCCAAGATGAATAATAGCTTTCTTAGAATTTTCTTTTTAACTTTTTTATTTATTCGCTTTTTTTGTTAGCTATATATATATATATATATAATGATATCTAAGATATATATATATATATATATATATATATGTATATGTACAAAATATAAAACTATTGCAATCTGTGTACATTATTTTCTTCTTTCTTACATATCATTATTTTCAAACATTGCGTACAAACATAATTATATATATTATCTAAAACCTAACATAGTTAATTACTTGCTATTTTTATTTAATGTTTTGTGTTATTGTTTGTTGTAAAGCAGAAGTAATATATCAAAAAAAAAAAGTCTCATCAAAAAAAAAATTGAAAAATGAAAAAATTTTTAAATACATGTAAAAACAAACATTTTTAAAATAAAAAAAAATCATTATCGAACTTTACTTGAAAACTTACAGCGCCGCACAGTGACAACGCTAAACAGTACCCCACATACGATCAACCGCATTCCGGTACCACAGAATGTTTTGGTAAAATAAAAAATTAAAAAACTACTACTACTTCTACTACTACTGTTACATAGTGTTGTTAGTTTCTATGTTTGTTTAGTTCCCCTCACGTTTTTTGCGTTTTGTATTGTGTTGTCTACCACCTCCACTACCACCGCAACCACTGCCATCATCGCCATCTCACCACCACCGCCACCGCCACTAAACCGTTACCACTACCACCACCACTACCACCACCACTACCACTACCACTACTATCCGTTATTACCATCCACCAGAGAAAGTAAACATTTTCAAAATTCACGAGCGTTTTCTTCTTTGGTTTTTTTTTTTTGTTGATTTTGTCAAGCGATTCTTTATTTCTGTTTAAAGTATTTTCTTTTTTCTATATTCGGTTGCGTGCGTGTTTGTGTGTGTTTGTGTGCATTTGTTTGTGTGTTTGTGTGTGTGTGTGTGTGTGTGTGTGTGTGTGTGTTTTGTGTGTTGTGTGTGTGTTGTGTGTGTGTTGTGTGTGTGTGTTGTGTGTTGTGTGTGTGTGTGTATGTATGTATGTGTATGTGTGTTCGTATGCGTATAGTTAATTTTGCTAAGCCCTCTGTTATACGATTTTCTAATCTAATGTGGTTAAAAAGCATGTTTATTTTTCTTCTTTTCATTTATTTGATTTGTTACTGTTTCTGTTTCTGTTCTTTATTTTTTTTCAATCAAAGCCAAGTTTTTTCCAGGGGTTCCTGTGTGTTGGAATTTAACTTTAAGTACTTTCGTTATTATTATTGTTACCATTATTATTATTATTACTATTATTATTATTATTATTATTATTATTATTATTACTATAATAATAATAATTATTATTATTATTATTATTATTTCGTTTTTATTTTTCATTCGCTCCCGTGTTTTGTAAAAATGAAAAAAGAAATCCAATGAACAAACGCATGTTTCTTCTATTATTTAGTTTATAATTGCAGCGTTACTTGGCTATAAAGAAAAAAAAAAAAAAAAAAAACTCTGGTTGAAAGGGTTCTCTACATACATACATATATATAATACCACCGTACATACTTATTGTATTTAAAACATTGTTATGCATTTTGGTACTACAATATGCACCCAGCGTTAAGCACTGAAATTCTTGTTGAATTTGTTAAAAATCTTCTCCTTTCCTTTTATTTTTTTATATTTGTTTTGTTTTTGTTTCTGTGTTTCTTTTCTTTTTTTATTTTATTTCATTTCTACAATTTAATTTGATTTAAGTACATACTATACTTGCCGAGAGTAGTTTTTGTTAAATTTGTAAACGTCTAGCAGTATACACATATGTTTTAAATGCTATTTCTCTTTCTCTTATTACATATTTATACAAACATAAACACATATATAATATGACCTGTTTGAAGTACATACATACTACCATAAAATTTTTCACCAACTTCTGTTTGTTGCTGTTGTTGCATCATCATCAGCAGCGCAATGTGAATGAATATAATTCATCAACGTTTTTGTGATTACATTTAATTTCTTTCATTTCTTGTTTTTTTTTTTTTTTCTATTTCTCTTTCTCTCCCTCTTTCTTTTTCTCTCGCTCTCTTTCTTTCTCTCTTTCTCCGTTTTTCTCTTTCACTGTCTCGCTGCGATTTTGTTATTGCTGCCTTGCGCTGCGCTCACTTGACACCGATGCAGGCCACAGGTCCGCTGTTAAAGACACCCTTGTCTCAGGCACAACAACAGTATGCAACTGCTGCTACTACCTATACAGCGGTGGCGGCTAGAGCTTACAATGCAGCAGCTGCCGCTGCCACACAACCAGCTTTGGCCGGCTATGCTACTGTAGCAGGGTAAGTTTCCTACTGATTTTAAGCTCAAACATACAGGTCTAAGCTATAAAATGAATTAATCACTAACTGGTTACTAACACAAGTATAGAAAATTTTATAAAAATTTTACTTAAAACCAGAATTATCGAAATCAAATTTAAAAAATGCTCTAAAGGAAAATTTTATTCTTGATATTTATATTAAAAGTTCTCGTTCGCGATTTAAATGCTCGAATACGAGCCATCAGAAAGTTTCTTAAAGCAAGTAGCAGTAGTTGTCCGTTTATTCAAAAGTTCTCATTAGTTTTTCGTTGAGCAGAAATATCAATTACTATGTGAAACTGATCCGTTGGGTTATTACGTAATACGTCCGTTTCCGGAGAGTTGCATTTTGAAGATATGCTGTAAATAAAAATTCCAAACAAAGAATTTTCCTCATGTTTCTTGTCATCAATATGCCAACGCGTGCGTTATCGTGTAACTAATAAACGGATGAAATTATTTGAAAAGTTCTGCGATAAAATCGTTTTTTCTGACACAAAAACTACGATGATAAATAACATAGACGCGCAAGGAAAATTTTTTATTCGGCATAAGACGATTTGTTTCGCTTGATAACGCGAAAAAAAAAATGCATAAAAGCAGCATGAGATGATAACTTTATCTGAGCGCTTCAAAATCGATCCTATTTTGGAAGAGCTCAGCCGGGTGCCTTCTTCTTTTTTTTTTTAACAAACAATATAAAATTCTTATTAAATTGTCCTTACGCGGTAGCAAATCTGTCCATGTTGTGGAATTTGTTATAAGAACGTTTAATAAGTATAAAGAATGAGAGACATGTAGCCCGGGATGCAGACACGCCTATGATAGTTGAGGAACTCGTGTCATTTGTAAAATAATTTGAATATGTTCCGTCCATCTGGGGAAAGTGCATATGGAAGATACAGCCAAACTTTCAACAGTAAAATCTTTTGCTTTGTTTTTCATTTTGCACATTCGTATTTATTTGCCTTATTTTTATTTATTTTTTTTTTTTTCTTCATCTATTTATTCCAACCTTAAAAAAATATAAATATATAAGGTTTTGAAAGAAATTATCAAATATAGGAATTTCCTAAATAGTCAACAAGTGAGCGTCACATGCGTCATCATCACTAAATGATGTTTAATGATGAATTTTGAGATCTCTATCAAACTTTTATGATTTTTCAAGAGTAATTACCTACTTTGTGCTTCAATTAGAACGAATGCTGACGTAACCATTATCACAAGCTGTTCCGTTCACTTTGACGGCGTTAAAATGAATTTTTATAATATAATTGAATGGTGATGGTTTCTTTAACGATTCCGGTTACTTTTTGCACAAAATGAATCTATTGGTACCGACCTATACACTTTGTCACAACAAGTATTTTGAAAACATATCTTGCCTACTTAGTTCTTCGCCTTTCATTTTATATATGCAATACATACATAAGAAGTATTCATCTATTAAAGTATACGAAGAATGCGTTTGTTTCTCATGAAAAGAAGAATGTTCATCAGAGTTTCCAGCTGCTGAGCTGGGCTACTTTAAAATTTAATATGATTTTTTGCAAATTTTCGCTATGCGTTTTTAACAACTTGCACAACTGATCTTGTGGCAATTTCTATGGAATAGGATCAACTTTCTTTTATTGTGATCAAAGTCAAAGAAATTTTTGTTTATGTTGCCCCCATAGGATTGTCACTCAAATTTCATTTTTATCAAATGTGCTTACCCATCGAATGGATGCACATTTAAAACTCTTAATAGCAGCGTGTATGTGTATGTATCATATATCGGTGAGCGACCGAGCGAGCAAACACTTATAATGCGATAAATATGTAGAAATATTTCTTCAACTCTTCCATTTGGTAGCTTTGTGTAAAAACTCTAGGCATTTTTTTGTCATTATCATGTGATTGATGATTCTTCTCCATTTACCCTGTCCCATTTTATCTATGTCTTTATACGGAATTCTTGATCGTCTTGGTCGTCTGTGTAGTTATTTCAACAGTGAAGGAAAAAAGACGAATTCGTTTTACACCTTGTTTTCTCTTATAATGATTTTATCTTCTTTTCTTATTAATTTTACATGATTGTTTTCATAATTTTTAATTTATTATTTTTTATATTTTTAGAAATATGATGAAAAGAAATTTAATAAATAGTGAAACGAAAGCAAAACTTGAAGAATGTTGCAAAATTTTAACAAAACTAAACAATTTCAAATAGTGACTCTAGCACAAACAAGCCTATAAGCCTAAGCGTAGAAGAAGAACATAAGAAGAATGAAAAAAGAAAAATCAAAAAAATCAAAAAAGCGAGAACAAGAACAAGAAAAAGAACAAAAATATGAACTGATATCAATTATTAACCTTTAACACTAACATAACGAATTTAAATGCAAAATGAAAGATTATTTTTAAAAAATGAAATCAAATTTTTTACTTTTCTCAGTTACGCACGAGAATTTGCAGATCCTTATCTGGGACATGGTATAGGACCCGTGCCAGGCTATGGGGTAAATGCTCTTTATAGAAATCATTTTACAATTCCATCGCTTATGCACTCAAATTCTTTTTTCTTTTCTTGCATATTCTCCATCACAGGCTACTATGTATCGCGGAGGATTTAATCGTTTCGCGCCCTATTAAATAAAGGAGAGAAGAAAAAACAATTCAAAAAATAAAAAAATGAAAGCGAAAAAAAAGAATTATGAAATTTAACAATACTCAAAAACAACAACAACAACAACAACAGCAACCGTAAAATTATTATCATCTCTTTACATAGATAGTTAGCATAACACCATATGCTAAGGAGGATAATAAGCGCTAGTAGCAAATAACAACAGAACAATGCTCAACACACAAAGGAATTATAAAAAAAAGAAGAAATCTAAGAATAATTAAAAATACTCATAAAAAGCAAAAGAGATTTTATAAAATAAAATAATAATAATAAGAGTAAGAAGAAGAAGAAGAAGAAGAAAATCCCCGGATTTATTTATATACAAATTATAAAAAAAAAAAAAAAAAAAGTTTTAATAAATAACAACAAACTACTGTTGTTAAGCTGCTAAAAATCTAGGAAAACGTATTAATCATTAAAAATTTTACAAAAAAAAAAAATATATATATATATGAGAAATAGGAAAATCTCATCTTATAATAATAAAAATCAAGTCTTATACCACAAATATCAGCAACACCAGCAGCAGCAGAAGCAGCAGCAGCAGCAGCAGCAATAAGAGAAATTAAAACGAACCTAAATGTAGTTTTGTTCAATTCAATGTCGTCCAGCAACAAACAACAGCAAATTTATAACAAAAAAAAAAAAAAAACAAAAAAGAAAAACAAAAGCTCTCTTGTTCTAAAACAGTAATAGTAACCAAAACGGTTTAAAAAATGTATAGACGTAGAAGGAACAGGAAATAAGTTTTCAAAATTTTAAGAAAAACGCTTCTCTTCTTATTTGCATTAAAGGCAAGTCAGTCACTGAAACAATATGTATGTATCTATCTACAAGAAAAATAAGGTTTTTAAAAAATATATGTATATATCGTATATATATCGTATGTATATATAGAACGCGTAAGTGTGGCAATTAAGAAGCAGTGATAGACAACCGTTTACTTTACCCTTTGCACGGGGTTTCTTACAGAGACGAAAAAAAATAAAATAATAAAAAAAAACCCCATTGATCAATCTTTTGCCAAAATATTTACATAGAACAAATTGTTTCTCCTCTAATCCCCAATTAATAACATACACACGCATCCTGATTTGCAACTATAATTAAAGTTCTACGGTACATTGACATTTGAAAATCTCTTGTACTCAATCATTTCTGGACATAATTAGCCTTAGTTGCGAAAGTACTCTTTTTTTTCGGAACACAAATATCCCCTGTAGAGCTAATCTCTTCTTATTATCATTCTTTTTCAAGTTTTTCCTTTTCAAAAGGGAAACGATAATTTACCAGTGAATTGAAGGAAGACACATAGCTACTTGAAATTGTTTTCTGACAGCACCTCGGGTGTAGAACGTTGCCTAGTTTCTAAAACTACTTGGTTTCGTAGTTGATTTGAGGACTTCAATTTAAATCTTCTGTTCTTCTTCTTGTTTTTGGTTTTTTTTTTATGCCGACATAATTATAAAAATAAAAATAATTTATTATTAGATCACTTGTCGGTAAAATATATAATTCATCTTCGAATCCGACTTTTATATTTATTAAAATTCGTTATGATTATATTCGATTAGGAACCGAACTACACTTCAAAGTACATTCAACAACGGTTAACAGTGCTACGTTTCATTTTAATTCTCTTAAATTGTTTTCTTCTTTCTAAATTAATTTCGATTTTGATTTGGGGTGAGAGATGAATTGATCCAAAAAAAAAAAAAAGAAAATATATATATATATATATATATATATATATATTACTAACCGCCACACCTTATTTATTCATACATGTATATAAGCGTGCATATATATATATATATATATACATACACATAACTAATTATTTAAAAACCTTTAATTTTTGTAGAAAAATTTTAACTAAAACAAAAAGCAAAACTTGAAGGAAAGAATATGAAAAATAATGAAATATTAAAAGAAAGAAAAAGGAAAAAAAAAAAAAGCTATGCATATAAAATTGTACAGAAACAATTATCCTCGAGAAAAACAAACTCTCCCAGCATAAGGAAATTCAAATTAGTCATTAGAATAGTTTCCTTTCATTTAAATATGATTCTTATTATTAATTATTATTGTTTAATTATTACTCTTATCATGATTATTTTCAATTAATGAAAGTGGCAGCTCTTTTTTAAACTTATTATCTTATATATTTTTCATCATGATATTATTATAATTATTGGATTATTATTGTTCGTCGTAACATCGATTTTTGTACACATTTAAAAATGTTTTTGAACTTTTTAATGTGTCTTTGGCAACTATCAACGCATAGTCAGGTCATTATTAGTTTTTTATTTTTTTGTTTTTTTCTTCTATCGTATAGTCTGTTGAATTTACACTTAAGACAAAGCAGCAAATCATGAAGTCTGTTTAATTTTTTTTTTTTTTTTTTCGTTCTTAAATAACGTTATACACATACGAGCAACATAATGCACTGTTTTATGCTCTTTACAAGTCTGCAATAGTAATTGTTGAACAATTTTCGTGACTTTACCCACAATATTTAGCGATTTTGAAGTTAAATTTTTATTTTACATTTTGAAAAGAGCAAAAGAGCATATTACGCATTCATTGCGGTCCGTTTACGCAGTGGATTATTGCGAAATTTATCCCCAAATATTTCTCTTTTCTTTTAAATTAATCTTCTCTTTAAAAAAATATTTCTAAAACGAGATTTCATAAAAACAAAATAAATCGAATTTCAGTCAAAAATTCAAAGAAATTTTTCTTAAAAAAAATAACAAAATAAATCTAAGAAAATCCTTGAAAGTAAATTCGTAAGAAATGTTAAGGTTTCCTTTTGTCTACATTTCGTCAAATTATATATTTACATAAAAAAAACAAGAAAAAAGTCGCTGAATTTAATAAATAAAGAAAATGTTCTCGCAATAATGTTTATAAAACCTTTCCGAACCATGGTAATGATATATAGATATCGTTTGCACTTGTTTTTTCGCTCCCGCCCCGAGGACAAAGCGTGCATCAAGCGGCGGGGAAGAAAAAACCAAAAACATTTAAACAAAATATTCACCGATATTCGCGTGATGTATTTCATTTTAATATTTTTTTGTTTTTCTTTGAATATAGAATGAAAAAAACATAGTACGGTTCGGTTCGTGCGGATTTTGAATTTCCATTTATTGCCTAACGACGTGTATGTGTCGGAAGATATCTATCAACTTGTATAAATTAATTTTTGTTAAGCTTTGTACTTGAAACTTATTCTGCCTGCCTCACTCGCGCATTACCTTATATCTAAACTTATTGTAATGGCGAGACGCGTAGAAATGACCAAAGGTACAGTTTCGGAGCACACATGAACTTCAAAGAAGACTAACGCTATTTATAATACTCTGCATAGTTAACTGAAAATTAAAAGCAACACTTGACCTCGTTTATGGTTTTAAGAGTTTGCGTATAGAGGAACGTTTTGAAAAAGAATAAATAATCTTTGGAACAAGTTTTAAAATCCAAAAAACTCGGATACGTTAAACAGAAAAAACACTGTTACCTTTTCAATTTTTCTCGATTAAAAATAACTATCTTCCATATCTATTTTAAATGGAAAGGTGCTTTCGACCACACATTTAAATAATTGCAAAAAAAAAAAAAAAGAAAAACTTAAACAGGCTTTAATAAAAAATAATTTGATAATATCGTCAAATCACTACATAATGTCAACTATCTCAAATGTTTACATAAGCATAGCAATTAATAATGCACCTTTTCGCCATCAAATAGAACCTGATTATATAACAATTTCAAAGATATACATTTATCTTGTATCCTCTCTAAGCAATAATTGATTGGAGCAAATCAAGTGAATTTCCGCTCGAAAGGTTCTTAAATCGGTGTGTAATATATTATATATACTGAAAGAGAAATATATCGGAGATATGATGGGCATATGCCGCTAATATTTTCCATCGAAAGTTTCTCAACAGGCTCTTGTGCAAATACGTGTTCGTTTAATTCCAAACTATTCTCAAAAAAAAAAAAAAAAAAAAAAAAACCCGACTCTCGTTCATTATTGCTTTTTAGTAGCATCAGTAATATCTATTAAAATCCTAGCTCCCATAATATATTATGCGTTCGGAGTAGCAACAAACGGCTTTAGACAAGCGTACTACATTTTTGCTGTTACCAAATCGATGATTTTGACGGTTGAGCTGAATTGAACAATGATTTTTGCCTAATTTAATCGCACTGACAGTTCAAAAGCTTTTATATAGAAAGGTTCACCATCCGATTAGAAATCGTGGTCTTCTGTACCCATCAAACCTATAATATTTGCGTATTCCGCGTTTCAAGACATTTGTCCTTAGCGTTACTTTTGATGAGTGACCATTGACATGAATGCGCAATTCCTTCCCGCTCAACATTTTGAAATCACTAGAACGAACGTAAGATTTTTCTCGATTGTTATTTTTCTGGATAACTGGTTAAGAGGAGAAGAAAAATAATTTCACAAAATTTTCAAATTTTTAATATCAATGCGAGACCCTCTTGTCTCAGCGATATCTCGATTAAAGAAAAGGTGCATTAGTATATATAATAATTGCATTGGATATAATATCATAATATTATGTATAAATAAATAAACATTATTGGCTGGAATTATATTTTTTAGCTTTACCATAAAATACTCAAAGTTGTCTTCATTTTCTTTACAATTTTATATGAAAAGAAATATTTTATATTATAATTTTTAGTAATTTTTAGTTCCTGCTTAAGTTTTTAAATCGATTTTTAATATATATATATTTTTTATTATATTTCTTATTTATTTTGGCAGCTAAATAAATATTCAAACACAAATGCTTTCAATTATTAGACTAATTAAGTAAATAAATAAATAATTAAATAAATAAAATCTGATTTAGCAATAGATTTTATATATATATATATATATATATACATATATATATATATGTAAACAGGAATAAAATATTTTAGTGAGTTACAAAAAGGAAACAAGAAAAAAAA